GCTTTTGTGCAGCAGTAGACAGGCCACAGTTCTTTGCTGCTGCTCCGGCCGTCCACGTGATCTGGAACACAAGTCGGGCTTACCACCCAGGGTGCCCCGCCCTTGCCAGGGGGCCGTTTCAGTGCAATTATTTAACGGACGCTGACAAAGCACCGACTGGGTGCTCGGCAGTGCTGTCCTACTTTGTAAACAGCAAGTCGTAGCATGCTGGGGTCAGTAGCTATGATTCTGTACATTTGACAGGTGGGGAAATAGAAACACGGAGCAGTGAGGTAACCTGCCCGAGGCTAAGGGGAGCTGTGAAATAGTGGGCAGCTTCGGGGCTTGAAGAGCCCCTTGGACCCAGCAACGGGCCCTGGAATCAGAACGTCTTCATGGAGAGTCAGAAATCCAAAGGACTCAGTACGTGTCCCAGGATCAAATCCTGACTCCACTACTTGCCCACTAGGAGGCCCTGGGCTCTTTGCGCATCTGTAAAATGGGCACAGGGGCTTCTCCTGTCCAGCAAACCAAACAGCCTCCCATAATCCCATCACACAAACACGCAGCAGTTAGCACATCCGTGGTTTTCTTTCTCCACCGCATGCCTCGATGTGAAGTCTTGGCAGATCTATAATTTCGCAGTCTGCATCTCTCGCTGGTATCGTAAATCCCCGGCAAGGAATTACCTCATTAATTTCAGCCACACGGGCCTCCACGCTGTTCCTCCGGCACACGAGGCAGGGTCGTGCCTCAGGGCCTTGGCACGTGCTGTTCCATCTGCTCGGAATGCTCTTCCTCCAGCTTTCCCCCCAACTGAGTCTTTCTTGAATATTACGTTTCTGCTTAAATGTCACCAACTCAGAGAGGCCGTCCCATGCCCCCCAAACCGAAGTTCCCGTTGTCTGCCTGATTCCCTGGATGTCATCACCACAGCGTGCATGATTTTATCTGCTCATTCCCTGTCTCCCGAGGGCCCTCATTGGTTCCGTGCAGACTTGATGCGTGTTTGTTGACGGAGGGAGGGGAGAGATGAGTGTGGTGTGAAGTTTGCTAAGCACTGGCCCATCGCGAGCCCTCAGGATCAGGCCCACTTCTTCCCCTGGGCCTCAGGATGGAGGGAGTTTCCTTCTTTTCCACCAGCCCGTTGCTTACAGCCTGTGCTCTGAGGCACCCAGCAACCATTCGTCCAGGGAGGGTGCTTGGCATGTGTAGACGATGAGGTCGGCCCCTGGTGTCGACCCTCCTGGGTTCAGATCCTGGCCCAGGGACGTTGAGCACGTCATTTTCCCTGTCTGAGCCTCGGTTTCTTATCTGTGAAAGGGGTTCACGACAGTTTCCCTGGCGGTAATGGGTTTAGTGAGGGGTTCACACATGCTTATGTTGGCACGGAGTACCCTGTAAGTTGGAGAAACCCAGACCTGTCGTGTCTACTGAGAACACAGGGCTAGCTTTGACTTCCTGCTTTAAAGACGATGATGTGGGGCCCCTGGGTGGCTCAGTCGGTTGGGCGTCCGACTCGGGCTCAGGTCATGATCTCACGGTCCGTGAGTTCGAGCCCCGCATCGTGCTCTGTGCTGACAGCTCAGAGCCTGGAGCCTGCTTTCAGAATCTGTGTCTCCTCCTCTCTCTGCCCCTTCCCTGGTCATGCTCCCTGTCTCCCTCTGTCTCCCCAAAATAAGTTAACATTAAAAAAGATGGTGATGTGATTTAACAGCGAATGTTAGCACGGCTGGGTATGGCTCGCTGCGTGTCCGTGTTTATGCTGTGGGTTTCCCTGCCGCGTGTCTGTTCGGAGCTGCGGTGTTTTCCTTTCCCCTCACGGGGGGGACATTGGACATTGAACTTCAGACATTGAACCTCTGTGTCTGTCCCCGAGGTTGCTTCCTCTGGGGGAGCCAGCCACCACACGACGTTTCGTGACCTCAGGGCCACTGCATGGCGGGGTACCCCAGGCCACATGAGACAGGTGAGTGCGCCCTTCTTGGGCCAGGAGGCACCAGCTGACTCTTCCTGGGGCCAAAGAAACTCCCCACTGAGCCCCGCCTGAACTCCAGACCCGGAAGGAATCCACTGCTGGGGTTTTAAGGCAGCCCGAGTCACCCGACACAGTATCTGAAGTAATTTACTTCATGAGGCATCTCTAAGAGACACAAGCCGTTCTGGTCTCCCTGTTACAGATGGGGAAACTGAGGCCCCGAGAAGATGAGGAACTTGTCCCAGGCCACACGGCCAGCAAGTGGGAGTGCCGGGACTCAGACCCGGGTGGGCTCACTGGGGGACCTGTGCCGATCACCCTTATGGGAGGGGAACGTTTCCCCAGACACGACGGGCGAGACGAGGGGGAGAGACGCTGGCCAGGGTAGGGTGAGGGTCTACCTAGGTTCCTTGCATCCATTTATTCACGGATTCCATAGAGGCCCTGGGGTGCTTTATTTTTGTGGGTGTTTTCAACATGGAAGCCCGGGAGGGCTTCGTGGAGGCGATAACGTGTGAGCAGGGACCTGAAGCAGGTGAAGCTACAAGCCGTGGGGCTCTCTGGCAACGAGAGCGAGCCGAGGGCGCGGCCGGCGCAGGGCCTGGCGCATCTGCTGACTGTCTGTCTAGGCTGGGAGGCAACTTCGCGTAAACACTAGCGATTGTGCTGATGGAGACCCACCATCGCCGGTCGGGGGCGCGTCCTGTGAGCGCTTTTCTGCTTCTAAAAAGCACACGCGTGCGCCTTGCTTGCTGACGTTGTTTAGTTTTTAACACAGGGCACGGTTTGCCCCGTCTGCCACTCTGCACCTGGCTTGGACGTGTTTACGTCGCGTCTCTGCTTAAGCCCCAACCTGCTTTCTGTCCCTGTGGATAAGTTGGCATTTCTTAGGGTTTTATATAAACGGAATCCCTTAGCATCTGTTCCCTTTCCCCCCCCTTTTTTTCTCCTGTAACGATGATCTAAATTGCTTTCGCTAAAAAGACATAAATTGCTTTCGCTTGTGGACTCTGTCCAGACATATATGTCTTTTCCAAAGACGCAGCCTTTCCCGAGTAACCAAAACAGCGACTTCTGCTTTACTTCCGAAGCACAGAATGTGTGTTCTGCTCTCTCACATACGTGTCTTACTATCAAACACCGTCCGTCCTGAGCTCTCTCCAAACGGGAACTCATTTCATTTTCAAAACAGCCCGCCAGGCGGGGATTGTCGCACCACACCCATTTTACAGATGCGCAGACCGAGGCTTGGGGCCCTTGGGTTAAGTCCTGAACACAGGTCTGCTCTGAAGTCCTTGATTTCAGCCCTTGTGCTACACTGCTCTCTTTGGAAGTGTTCTCATGACTGTTCCATGCTTCACTGGGTGGGAGCCGTCGTGTGCCGGGCCCCTAAATGCCACCCTGCCCCTGTGGGTCAGGAACGGAAAGAGCCTGAGGGCCCCTGGCCCAGGGTGCAGGGACTCCGGGTGCTACCGAGTTCATCACTGTTGGCAAAGACCACACTTACGTTGTCGTGGCTAAGCATCACTCCCTTGGGGATGCCTAAGGTCCCAGAAGTGTAAATGATCACTGCACACTGATTGGGCCTCTGGCTTTCCATGATCTGGTCCAGCTGGGAATCGGGGATGCTGTGGCCAAGCTCCATGAAATCATTCCACTGTGGAAAGAAGAGACAGGCAGAGCATGAGGACCCCAGATGTGAGGGTGACCCACGACACGCCAGGGGTCGCCCTCCCCAGTCTGGTCGGGTACCAGCAGCCTCTCTAAAGCACGATTGCCAGCATGACGGAAGGCTTAGGATCACCAGTCCTGGTGCCTCTTTAAAAAGCCCTAAAATGTTTGCTTCTCCTCCTCCACTTCCTGGCCCGGCTGCTGGGTCTGGGCATGTGACGGCCGCTGGTCCAATCGCACTGAAGGTCAGGGCTTTTGCTGGAAGTGCTGGGGCAGGAGTGAGTCATCTGGACACGAATGAGTCAAGATGTAGCCCCGGGAGCCGCCAAAGGTCACCCGGCAAGTAAACAGGAACCAGCCTTCTGAACCAAGGTGGCCAGACTCCAGAGCCTGTGCGCTTAACTGCCTTCAACTACGTTGCCTCAGAAGGCGCTGCTGGGTTGTGTGAACGGAGTGACCGCACAGGATCTGTGGCATTTCTACCCGGGAGACCCAGCTCGGCTCTGGGTGAGGGCGGTGCCCTGGATTCCAGACGGAGGGCACGCAGCGTCCTCCAGAAGTGGAGCCAGGGTGATGCCGGCCCCACGGCAGCAGGTCATGTCTGAGGGCGTTTGTGGTTTCAGCGAGGACAGCGCTGCTGACATCTAGCAGGTGGAGGCCAGGGGCACCACCTGGCATCCGACACCTCACAGTTCGGCCGCACGACTAAGAATGATCCGCCCCAGATGTCCAGAGCAATGAGGTTGAGAAACCCCACTGTAGGTAGTGTTGCTAACAAGGGAGTTTTTTGTTTTTGTTTTTGTTTTTTAAGGTATCCAGACCTCAGATATTGTTGCTGTGGTGGCCACTCTTAACCTCTAAAATGTCTGTGATTCTGATCAGCTTTCTTCCTTAATCAGTCGCCATCCTGGTCTTGATATTTGAGTGTTTTCTGGAAGGCACAGAAGCTGCCGAGGGTTCTGGTTGGCAGAAAGGATCATGGGCGCCTTTTGTCCGCCTTGCACGGAGGGCAACCCGGAAAAACTCCGTGACGTGTTAGGACTTCTGATCCAAGTCATGAGTTTGAGAGTCTGATCACATGGGCGTTAACAGGAGCTTGTCTCGTGGCTTCTGTGAGATCACTCTGTGTACCGTCATGCACCTCACCCCTGCTTCGGCTAGCCTGACGTCACCATGCTTGGAGAGGCCGCAGAGAGAGAGGGAGGTATATAGGAGGAGGGCCCGGGCTGCAAGACGAGAGTGAGGACTCGACACTTAGCCTCTAGGGCAAAGTTTAAGAAGATGCAAACAACAGAATAAAACAAAAGGGC